AATCTGGCAATATGGCCGGGTTTCCTGCAGGTGAAACACAGCCTTGAACGACCCTCTGGCTCCCTGGTTTCTCTCCCACCGGATGGTGTTGGTTGGCTTGACCAGGGTCCAGGCTGGCGCCTCTGATGCCCTGGTGCGCGCACTGCCTTGGCGTAGCTTGCTTGGGCTAGCCGCATCGACTGGTCTGCTGAGACCGCAGCTCGTATGGCTTGGGCCAAATGTTGCGGATGCTCCCTAAGTACCTCACCGCTTAGGCCCTGAGCCAGCCCACGCGTGAACAAGATAGCTCTGGAGTGGTCATCAAGCTCGGGAACTTGTAAGCTAAGCCGCGAAAATTTGTTGATGTATTCGTCAAGAGTCTCATCTTGGTGAAGAGCGAATAAGTCGATGCGCGCCTGTTCCCTGTCATAAACCGGGCCGTACACTTCTCCCAGCTTGCTCTTCAGGTCGGGCCAGTCGGAAAACAGCGTGTTTGCCTCCTGAGAGGCGATAAACCAAAGACGAGCGTTGCCCTCCAGAAAACTCGCCGCGTAGCTCAAGCGCTCCTCCGCGTTGTCCAGCTGCAGGGACTTCATGGCGATTTCGATTGCGAAGGCCCACTCCTTGAACTCTCTTGTATCTCCACGAAACACAGGCGGAGACTTAACATGGCGCATGCGTGGCCTCTCTCCGCTGGGAGCTTGAGCAAGTCTTGGCGTTTGATCTGATCCATCGCACTGACCGGGTGCGATAAGGTGATTCAGACGCTTCTGAATCTCGAATATACCGTAGGCGACTAATGCGGCCACTGCGCATAGCCCGAACATGACGAAAAGAAAAAACCATCCTCTTGCTACCAGTGTAACAGTCCAACTAACTTCAGTAGTCATTCTTGGAATAAGCAATGATCCTTGCCATAATGCATTCTTATATACATGAACAAGCAATGATGGACATAACACCTAACAGCAGCAGCGTGATAATAGCAGTTGATAAGTGTATCCTATTCCTAGTGTTAGTAGTAACAGTGAATCTGTTACATAATCTGGAGACTGCTAGTGAAGCGTCGAAGCTGGCAAGTGAAGTGAAAGTTGAAGAGAGTTGCTCAAAGGATGAAAATCATAACTTATAACAGTGCTTTTACAAGATACAATCTTGCTAGCTAGAGACCAAAATGAATATACATGTACATGTGATCTATACGCAGATCTATGTAGATCTACATGCAGTAACTGCACTTGACCAGACCCGGCTCTGACCCGACTGCAAGAGTTGTGCCGTATATCTACGTGTACGTGTGCCCGGTTGGTTTGAAATCCTAGATCAGATACAGAATGCATGTCTATAGAAATGAATAAGGCAGTAGATATGCATACGGTACAGTTGCTGGAGTATTCATAACATGAACATGTATAGACAGTGTGCTGAGAAGAGAAGCCGATATTCAATACACTGGTATATGTATATGTGCATTGAATTTTGTTTGACACACACATACACACGCACTCACATACAACCACACACACTCACAGACACACACACACACACACACACACACACACATGCACACTTTCGCACACACAGACACACAAACACACGTACACGCACATACGTACACACTCTCACACACACATGCACACACACACACACACACACACACACCGTTGGTGCGTCTAGGTGGCCATGAAGTCGAGACCCTAGGTCGGCGGAGCTCCCTAAACCTCACCACCACTGCCACGATTCAGGTTGTGCGTGCTTCCCCTAGCTGCATCTCATGTTTGGCATTTAAGGGGGCACATCACCCAAAAATTTCATATGGCATTCAATTGACCGTAACTTTGGTGTTTCTCAGTGGATTTGAGTGAAATTTTGACCACACACTCCTGCCACTATGCTGGCCCTCAGGACATGATTTACAAGTTCTTGCGCCTCACTGACAGGCTTTCCAGGCCGGAAAAACTCAAATTTCCGGCATAGTGCTACGGTGTGCGAGCCACCCAGGAGCCAAACAAATGCATTTACATTTTTTTCACATTTTCGTGCCCATTCTGTCCGTGCGCGGGACCCAAACCTAAAACAAGTCCAGAAGCAGCCATGGGTGGTGGGGTAGGGCCCCTCAACGTGGCCCTGGAATCTGTCACAACGGAACGAGTGGGCGTTCTTTCACGGACTCCCACAGACCCAAGTCAATTTTTGAATTTTTTTAGGTTTAGCACGTGCTACGAGGTCGTACCTTTGATACAACATCCAGTGCTGGGACCTCCACAGCAAGCCATTTCCACAGCGCTGCACACCGAATCCAGGATGCCCTCAGAAACCGGCAAAGACTGCCACTCACGTTTCACTACTGCCTAGTACTGAATCCTACCTAACTTCTTGACACGACTCAAACTTGCCAAAGTCACTAAATCAACGTCAACTACAATAATCAAGCCACATATCTGCAACGTCACGAGGGTGATGGCAAAAGTCCTGCTGCACGTGCGTGCAGCCCAATACGTGGTTTTTTAACGTGATTTTTTGGACTTTTTTGGACTTGGGGCAAAATTCTGCACACTTTCGAGTGTTTCCATAATACGACAAGTTGCGCACGGTCTGCTCACATTCAAATACAGTGCTGCCAACAAATGACAGCATGCAACAAAAAAATCTTTCCTTGCAAGGGCACATTTTCGGCCATAACTCTTGAACGGCTGGTCAGATAGGGACACAGTTTTCAGAGAATTTGCAGCTATTCATGCTCTTTCAACTGACGTAGCACTCAATATGAATTTACAAATTCGATTTTTCAGCGAATTTTTGGGTGATGTGCCCCCTTAAGTGGTCTTTGTAAAAAATAAAATAAAAATGAAATAAACACGCTCACACACGCACATACACACACCACCCTATGGCCGGCCATTAGGCTCCAGCGGATTATGCTCGCGAAATCAAGGAATTATGCTTTTATGAATTCTCGCATTATGCTCGTAAAATCCTCATATTATGCTTTGGCACCCGGGGATATATACCGGTATTCACTTTGTTGTACTTGTACTTATGGAGCCTCAAAGTTCGGGAAATTGTGCCTTTTTCATACTTGCAAGTTGCACGTGTCCATACATGTACATCAGTACAAGAAAATACATGTACATGAGTATCCCCATACCAAGGTGTCCATGCCTGTACATGAGTATCCCCATACCAAGATGTCCATGCATGTACATGTAAGAGGTCTACATGGAAAAAAGAAAACAATACTTCTTCTATTCATTACTTGATTTCTTTTTTACTTCAGCAAAAATATTATGTCATTGCCAAATTAGTTTGAGTTACCTTTGAAAATGATCATGTTCAACTGTCTTCGTAATCATTATACTCGTCCATCCGATGTCACCCTGGGTCTCACCCTGCGAATAATCAGCTCATCTCTCCCGTAGCTCCACTTCTCCTTCCATCATGACCGAACATCAACTATACATCAATTTAAAGCAATATCCGTAGCCTGCCGTCATGATATTATCATGGCTGCTAAAATCCAGACTGGTCATGACTTCGTAACATGCATAATGTACAAGTACATGTACATGTACACGGAGTTTTGCGGACTACCCGCCACTACATGTATCTCGTCCGCCCCAAGATACCTGATGAAGGCTGATTCACTCGCATCTTCTGCTACATGTACTGTGTCAGTGTGAGAAAGAACTTTGAAGAAGACTAGTTCGAGCATACAATAATGTATTGCCATGATTTCTACCCTGCTTTTCATTAAAAACACTATCTGCATGACCTCCGAACCCTTTGCCATGCAGACCACCAGCACTGATCAGGTGCATTGTACACAATGCATAATGTACAAATACAGCCGGCTGTCAAAGCCTCATCCATGTATGTGTACGTGGCACTAAGAGTCGACAGAATCAGAAGAAGGAAAAGGATGATCTCTTTGTGCACAAGTCAAGGCAATGTTGACTAGCAATTCTAATACTTCGAAGCAGGATAATTGATCTGTAAGAAAGCAATCCACAATAGTAAATATATAAATCAATAAATCAGAACTCTTACAAACTAGTCGCAATGCAAAACGGTATACAACCTAGGACACAAAGAGTTTTCTAACAATTTGGAACATCATTCTCCTGCGAGTCAGGGTGAACAAGGATCAAGAATCCAGGAGCTACCTAAGAAATACTGGTCCTGCTACCAAACTGGTTTGTTTAATTAAGAAAATAATTTCAAAGAAAGTACAGAACTGAATACTCAGTTCATGTGAGAATGCTGACAGGTAAAAAAACAAGCAGGGTGGGAAATGAATGGAAGGAAAGGCCACATTTAAGTGGAAAGTCTTGTAAGAGACAACCGATGAAGAACTGATTGTAAGATGGGTGTGTGGGTAAGGAATTGGGGGAGGGGGGGGGGGGAGGGGTAGGAACGGAGGTGTGTGTGTGTATGTGTGTGTTTGTGTGTGTGTGTGTGTGTGTGTGTGTGTGTGTGTGTGTGTGTGTGTGGTGTGTGTGTGTGTGTGCCACTGTGTGTGTGTGTGTGTGTGTGTGTGTGTGTGTGTGTGTGGTGTGTTTTGTGTGTGTGTTTTTGTGTGTGTGTGTGTGTGTGTGTGTGTGTGTGTGTGTGTGTGTGCGTAGGGATTCACTGGACAGAAAAAGCCACTTCATAGCTGTGAGGTGTAGACCAGGCTGAATAGTGGCGGTCAATTCTTCAGGCTTGCAATCTTTTAAATGGTGCAATCCCAGCACAAGCGGCTATGGCTTCTACTGTAGCATCGCTTTCATCGCCTCTGGCGATGGGTGTCAAATGGATGATCAATGGTGTGTGTGTGTGTATATGTGTGTGTGTATGCGTGCGTTTGTGTGTGTGTGTGTGTGTGTGTGTGTATGTATGTGTGTGTGTGTTAATGTATGACTGTACAGATATGTTGCCTAGAAGTAACATGGTGACAGAGGGTGCTGGAAGTCTAACAAGAAACCTTTAAAACACAAAAATGTTGTGGCTTCCATCACAGGAAACAGCTACGAAACCCTCACTTGTCACGCAGACACTCATTGGCTTGTCCAGCTCTCCTTTTCCAAACTCAGCCAGTGGTGTGTAAGTTTCTGCGGCATATACCTGCAGAGAACATGGACAACACTGGTGAGCGTACAGGAATAACACGTATTATAGATGGATGACGCGTTGGGCACGTGCTGCGGCTGGACCAGAGTGCACCGGCGAACCTGTCAATGTGCTCCTACTTCAAGCCATCCACTGAGCCTACCTGGAGGGGCAGGCCGCGCACAACTCTGCCGGTCGTGCTCAGACACGATCTCGAGCTGGTTGGGAGGACCCTCAAGACCTCGGCAGATCTTGAGGAGCTGAGGAGCATCGCCCAGAATCGAGGGGCGTGGACCTACCTCAGCGGCCGTATCCTGGAGAGATATGTTGCTGCTCACAGATGAACCCTGATAATGATCAGCAAGTTCAAATTCAACTCGGTTGAGCTGCTCGTTTGCTTGTTTTAATTGTATTCTATTTTCGTCACGTGTTTTATATCGCATATGTTTTATATCGCCATCAATATCCTGTTTGGCTGTTGTCGCTTCGGCTTATGCGAAAGCTATACATGCTGTGTATATCTACATTGCATTGATGCCAACGCGGAGAAGCTTCTAATAATAATAATAATAGATGGATGATGCATGGTGATGTATGGATGATGTATGAATGATGTATTATTGTTGATGTATCTGTCCCTTCAGGAACTTGCGGTTCCGTGACCGCGTTGTTTTCCGCGATTTGAACAAAATTCCGCGATATCCACGATATTTCAAAAATCATCCGCATTATTGTAGAAAACTGTCCTTCGTACTTGAAAAGCACCGCGTGATTTCGAAAAAGCACCCACAATATTCGAGTCTTTCTTCGATGTTGTTTAGTTCTTCAAGCTCGTCAGTAGTTTACTTGTGAGATCGATACCAGAATGGAGAAGTTTCTGGGCAAATCAGCGGCTGAAAAGTAAAAAAAAATAAGGCTCGTGTCGAGTGTTGTCTGAGAATGGAGGAAAACTGTCTTGCAAGCTCCTGTCATCACTTGAACCCAGTCGTAATCGAGTACAGCGCAGCACAATCCTACCGCACTACACTACAAGTAACAAAATCGGACGAAATTTGTGGCATTTTACCTCGCAACCTTTCCGCGATATTTCCTAAATGTCTCCAAAAGTTTCTAGAGGTACAGATGTATGGATGATGCATTATTGGCGGATGTTCATGCATGCCGATGACGATACTGGAAAGACCATTGGACAACACGGTCAAACCACGATTCAAGAACGCAAAGCAACATTCTGTAAGAGCTAATGTACTCTTGCTTTACTGTCTTGTACTCTGTGCATGCAGTGTACATCACTTTCTGTGTTCATATCAGTGTTGTCTGATGATTGTACTGACCATGAATCACAGACTAGCAACAAACTGACCATGCTCCACTGTTGTATATGTACTGGGTACTACTCTCTGCCTGTAGGTATTTAGAAAGAAGAACACGACAACAAGCTCTCCCTTACCATAACACGTCCATTGCCATGATCTACGACTAGAACATTGCCGTAGGCATCTGTAGTGACATCATGCGGTTGGCACAGCTGCCCAAAAGCGCTGCCCTGAGACCCGAACGAAGTGATATACTCTCCATCGACGGTCATCACCTTTTGTAGGAATAAAAAAATTGAACATTCACACACACCACTGTGGTGACAGCAAGAGTATAGATATAACAGGAGTGTAAGAATAATACTCCAACACGCAGTGCATAGCTACTATCATTATGACTGTAATGATGATAAGGTTACTGGTGTGCAACTGTAAAAACTCAAAACCTGAGGTAAAACATGGACCTGGCACCAACATTTGATTACTATGTATGTATTATTTTATTGTAGCACAGACACTGTTTGGTTTGTGACATGATGTATAGACATGATGTTTAAGAGTCTAACTTCACATCAGCCTATACACTCTTACACTGAAAAGGACAAGTAACAGGCAAACATGGCCAACAAGCATTTGCATGACGTACACATTCATTTCTGATTGAATGAATGTTTTCTTGCCCGAACCTGTCTAGTGCTTAGCCTTGTAGATGGATTATCAATAGCAGTAAAGTCTCAGAAACAGAAGAATTCCCAAAGTACGTCTATAATTTCTAGAACAAGTCAAGTTTGCATGCATCCACCCAATTAACACATCCCGTCAGATTCCAGAATCCTTCTGAAGCTCAACTGAAACAGAGTGAATTTAGCGGAGAAATGCATATTGAGCAGAGAGTGGTGTTTTTCTTGCAGATTTGTGAGTGCGAAGTTTGACGTGTTGCTCATGTGTTTCAGACTACAGCCATGAGTCAGACCCGTGTCGTCAATTAGCTGCAAATGCCATTTCCAACCATTCGGAGCATCCACCGACTTTAGAATAATTCCTGACACAACGATAGGAAAATGAAGTTGCTGCTGCTTCTGTTTTGGTTGTTGTTGTTGTTGTTGTTGTTGTTGTTGTTGTTGTTGTTGTCGTCGTCGTCGTTGCGGTTGTCGTCGTCTTTGGTATCGTTGTTGATGTGGGTGCCAGCTGAACATGCTAACATACCTGTATACAGTGGTTGTTCTCGTCTGCAATTAACAACCTGTTGTGGTACACTGTGATGCCGCTTGGGTATTGAAATTGGCCTTGACCACTACCTTCTGTTCCAAATGCATATCCTGTTTCACCACTGCATGGCACAACCTGTACAGTACCAGTGTACATAGAAGATAATTATCTGTGAGATTTATTAGGGTTGCAAGGATTATTCGAGTTTTCGACTGATATTCGTTTGAAAACACGATAGAAGGAATGTGTTCCCCTATGGAATATTCATTTCAAGGAAGTGTACGGTTAAGTACGTTAATGTGTCGATCTATGGTTGTACAGGCGCTATGACGCATGCGGATATGTGCACTCTGTTCAAGTGTCGATCTATCGTAGTTCTAGAACGGATGCAGTGAGTTGTAAATGCGTGCGAGCATGTATATATTTACGCACACACACGTGTGCTCGCACGCACACACACATACACACACACAGCACTCACACATACATACACACACACACCACATACATACACACACACACACACACACACACACACACACACATAAAGCGCTCCTATTGCATTGACTCACAGACAGAAGGGTCAGGTAGGTCAGGCAATGCATAATGATCTGGATCCAGAGGCAGGAAAGATAAATTGAGGGCGAATCTCCGCAACTCTTGAACCACCGGTCACAAGGAGTATTGCTTTTTCAAGGACACCACGCCGTGGCCGTAAGTGGCACTCTGCCCGAGATTGTGGTGAACAGGTCGCGCATTGAAAAGTATACGAAATGTGACAGGGTTGTCTCAACCAGAGCTTGGATTGATTTTGAAGCTTGTTCATTTTCGCCCAAGCCATGAAAGGGCTTCCCGGAAGCTGCTCTGAGTCAACACGAGTGTTGGACATGAAGTTGAGCGCCATCCTATTGCTTCTTTCACCTCCACGCGTCCACAAGTTCTCGTACAAACTGAATGTGACCTGGGCTTCGCCTGTTCCCCAGCGATTCAAAAATTTTCTCGCACAATTGCAATGTCAGAATTGCAAGAGGCGTTTCAAGAGACGAAACGACTTATCCCGTCACCAACACTCATGTCTCCTCTCGTCTCCGTCTCGCTCAACGAGAAACACGTGACCTACATGGCAGTGTATACCAGGACCAGGACCAGGATGTGTGTGTGTGTGTGTGTGTGTTGATGTGTGTGTGTGTTGATGTTAGTGTGTGTACATGTGTGTGTGTGTGTGTGTGTGTGTGTGTGTGTGTAAGTGCGCGTGAGAGTTCGCCATGTACATGTATGTATGAGCAGGGGTGGATCGAGCAGGGGTGGAATGGGCAGGGTAGACAGAGCAGGGGTAGACAGAACCTAGATGTTTTTGCCTCTGTGCAGGTTGTAGGATGTGGAGTGTTCAAGTACAACAGTAGCGAAACACCAACACCATACCTGTAGTCGGTGGTTACCAGTATCAGCAATGATCACTCGTTCATCATCTGTTACATGCACAGCGTCTGGGGCATAGAACTCTCCACACTTTCTTCCCTCGACGCCAACCGTCTGCTTGCACTGGCCATCAACCCCATGTATCTAAGTGCATTAACAAAAAGGAATATAATAACAAATTCAAGCACACACATGCACACAGACATAGCACAGATCTAAACATATACATTAGAATGTAATTCTATGGTGAGAATCTAGCCACAAACTCGCCCAGTAAATATCAGGCAAACATCCACTCCCCGATTCGCTGATGGCCGACCCATTCACATCACAACCATAGCGAGGACGATTCATTATTTTTAAGTTTTAACCATAGCGAGGACGATTCATTATTTTTAAGTTTTAACCATAGCGAAGACAATCCCATTGAGATGTTGATATTCAGACCCAGCAGACAGCGGTTCGTTCCAACACAGCAACAGAGCTCATCAGTGGAGTGTGTAGATAATGGCTGATTCAGGAACATGAGCGATGTTGTATAGGGAAAAAAAACTATCACTCGGAATTTCACACTTTCTCTCTAGTGTGGCATGCCCTAGCAAAACAAATGTGCAAGGTGATAACAGATAGTTTTAACAGAGGCCATGCACGTGTGCATTGCTTGGACCTGCATGATGTCATGTCCAGCATGCGTATACATGTACATGATGTCATGTCCAAAAAGTGCAGTTCATGTACAAAACCTTGTGTGAGTTCAAGAACCTGGAAAGACCAAGAAAGCTTGGGCACCACAAGATGGTGGTAAAGCCATAGCTTGTGGTGGTCTTGAAGCCAAGAGCCATCTACTTTTTGCATGAGAGAGAGAGAGAGAGAGAGAGAGAGAGAGAGAGAGAGAGAGAGAAAGAGAGAGAGAGAGAGAGAGAGAGAGAGAGAGAGAGAGAGAAAGAGAGAGACAGACACAGAGAGAGAGAGAGAGAGAGAGAGATGATTTTGAGTTGGTGTAGAAGCAATGTAGCCTTGTTGATGCAAGAGTGAAGCCAGTGTGCAGACGTGCATATACATGTACTTGGAAAAGTAGTGCGATGTATCAAACCGTTGTGAAGTTTGCCACCTCTGACCTGGTGCAAGCCATATGTGTGCATTCCCGGTGTCAACTGCCAGCTGCACTGTTATGCATGATGGGTGAGAGACCCGCATCGGTACATTACACAAATGTATGCCTTAACCATATCTTTATAGGAAATTCTAACAATGGTGGCACTCTAGTACTGTCTTTGTGATCGATAATGATCTCAAATATCGGCTGAGCATTACACTCTGGATGAATCTAAAATTGCCAAAACATTGCTAAAAAAAGGAGATGCACATTATACTCCGCCAAATACCTTTATTCTGTGGTTGCAGCTGTCACAGATGATCATGTCACCAGCTTTGTTGGTTGCTAGTCCCCAAGGGCCGTCAAACTGATCTCTCCCGCCGCCCTGACTACCAAATGAGTACCTTGCTTTGTGGATCTGTGTGTAATCACGCTGCAATACAGGAGAGTAGTGGGAACAACAGCAATCGACACTAGGACCATAGAGGTTGAAAGTAGTGATGCCATTGGCCCAAACCTGGCTGGGTGGTCATTGAAACCGTTGGTTGCCGGACCCTGTACCACACGGAATCCTGTATTCATACTTGGCAACCCAGCCAAATCAAATCCCTTAGTCACACAACCAGTTTCCCTAATGTTTTCTCATTTCTCTTATTTAGCTAGTTTTCGCCAATTTCGTCTATTTTCTCTTTTTCGGGCAATTTTGGAGTATTTTGCGAATTGTGCGCAATATTTTGGCAATTTTGTTCTTTCTTTTTATTCATTTCTAACCCATTGCTCATTGGGGGACCAAAGCTTGGATTTCTTCATTGTCAGATCGCCCCTACGTAAGGGATTCTGTGAAAAGCAGGGCCGCATGTGCCCTTGTCACACCACAAACCAGCGTTTTTGTGAACAATCATGGTTCAGTGCCAATTCCAGTAGTTTTTCGATCAAAGTCAGAAATCACCGGTATGCCGGTAGTTACCGGGTTACCCTGGTTACACACACACACACACTTGTTGGCAGTACCACATGGAACTCTCTCCCTGCTGATATTCGCGCTTGCGACGTACGCCACACGTTTCAAGCATTGCTGTCTGGCTATGACCTCATCTCCCTCGTCAACTAGCTCTCCGACGTTGTGCCTACTATGTCTTCTTCACAGATTCTGCCTGAACAGATGCTCATCAATTATGTTCTTGTCCTCTATCCTAGTCCAAATCCTGCCTTGCCCATGCATGACTCTCATGAAATGCCCGTACTAAATAGTCTATAGAACAAGAATATTGTATATCATACTTCTCTCATCAACTATGATAATACCCATTTCATACCCCCCCCTTCATAAAATTAATACCTACTGTTTTCTTTCCTTTCATTTTATCTTCTTTTCCGTTCCTTTCTTCTTCATACACATTTTAAACATTTTCATCATATTGTGAGAGCCGTGGGCCAACAGCCCCGGTGAGAAGGCAGTCTTGCCTGTTCATATGGTGAAGTAAAATAAAGAAACAACAACAACAACAACACACACACACACACACACACACACACATACACAAACACACACACACACACCAGCACCACACATAAACACACACACACACACACACACACACACACCTAGTCTTACCTGCTTTGTTGGAGATTCAGCTATTTGTGCTGCTGCTGCTGCTGCTGATGATGATGATGATGATGATGATGGTGACAACGTGTTTCTGGGCAAAGTAGTCTGATCTGAGGCTGAACCTTGTCTGGGCACTCTAGCTGGTGTTTCAGCTGAGGAAGCGCTGGATGACATCATCGGTGGTGTTGCAGAAGATGTAAATGTACTGCCTGGTGATGGAGTGGACTGGGGAATAGAATCACGGCGATGTCAGGTAGTCGGCATCGGTGCTTGCTAAAGTATTCCAAATCGACAAAAAGCGCAATGTATGGTCCTTCAATAGCAGGTGTGTACATGTATATGACAGCCTTATTGGACATCTGCCCTTGTTTTTCCGATGCCGTTTTATGCTCCTTCTAAAAAAGGCAATTATGCCTTCAATTATTATTTATTATTATAATAGTCTCATTGGGCATCGGCCCTTCTTTTTCGGATGCAATTGTATGCTCCTTCTCAAAAAGGACCTGATTATGCCCGCATAATCCGCTCACCCCTAGCAAGTGCAGCGCTGTGCCGCGAGTCCGCAGCCTTTTCGTTGAAGCATCGACTGATGATGTAATCAAATAAGGCCAAAACAAATAATGACCTTGTTTCCGGTCGCCCGACCGGGCCACTTTTTCCCAAATTCTGAAACTTTTTTTGGTCCCAAATGTATGCAAACGGTGGCAATGCCATGTGTGCAAGTGTACTAAACGAGTCATAACTCAGTCAAATCTCAACCCACAATCGAAACACCTAAAAGGTAGCAGAGATTCTCGGCTGTCGGCTCGTAAACCTCCGGGGTCGATACGAGCTAGAATAACGGAGCTGGAAGGACTCGAACTGTCTGCTTTCTCAGGATGTACGAAAACAGGAACACATGCTGTACAAGAACAGTGAGTCAGTCAACTTTGACATTGATCCTTGCCATGATATAATGTACAATGTACATGTGTAGGTGCTCCAGTCCATCAATGCCACAACGATTGAGCCTTGAGGAACCAAAAAAAAGTATCCAAAAAAAGTTTCATTCCGGCCGACCGAGTCTCCTTTTTGAGGGGTTGCCGACCGGAAACAAGTCTATTTTTTGTTTTGGCCTAATGTCTATTCACACAGGGGGTGATGAGAATAGCCAGGGCCGTACTAGCAAGAGTACAGAACCAAGAGTGGGAAACTCCTATCTTGAGCTGCGATGGGTTAACCCACGGCGGAATTTTTTTATTGCCTCATCCTTTGGCAGAAGTTATGATGAAGTGGGTATTCTTTCCGGCGCTTGTTTTGTAAATACGGTGAGAGTTCGTCAGGTTCAAGACACGTCGATCTTTCGTCCGTTGTTCTGCTTCGACTACCGTAGCTGTAATGTTCGCGTAATGTACACATGATTTGCACTTTGATCTCTGGCTACGCATGATGGCATCAGTGAGCTAAACCGCCAAAAGACCATGAAAGACTGATGTCATAAAAAAATTCCGCTGTGGGCTGGGGGATCGTAGAGTTGCACACTCTTGGTTATGTACTCTTGGTACTAGTAATAAATAATCCAATCATGAATTATACTATTCATGAATGGATTATGAATGGATTCATGAATGGATTCACGTTCATGGGTTCAACAAATTAATTGATTTGTGGGCAAAATCGAACGCACTCACGTGAGTCTGTATGTAGTCTGTAGTCCAGGTCGGATCCGTACTGCGCTCGTTAGCCTGTTCAACTCTCCCAGCACGGCAGCAGCCTGTTGTACTCTTGCCTCTACTCTCTAGGCCTCTACTCGACTCACTACTCGACTCACTACTCGCACTGACGTCGTCATGTACTAGTAGTAGTACTACCGGTAGTACCGGTGGTACTAGTACATGTACATGTAGTACGGAACATTTTGTGTCGTTGTTCGAATACCGTAAAAGTCCGTTCGTATTTACTTTCGAATTTAGTGGCCACACCCGTACTATTACAGTACAGTGGTCCCTCTATAATCCGGCACCATTTGTGCCACGGAAATCTGCTGGATTAGGGAGGGTGCTGGATTAACAAATCTGATCTACTGCTGCAATGTGCATGAAGAGGACATTTGGCTACTGAAAATTGTGCTGGTTTATAGAGGGTGCTGGATTATAAAGTGCCGGATTAGAGAGGGACGACTGTATTAGTACTACTACTACTCAGTACTAACTAACGTGTTGTTACTTTCGGGCGGGTACTGACTTTCGGGCACGAACTAACTTTCGGACCTGACTTTTGTGTACAAAAAGTGGAGAAGTCATTTTCATGTTGATGTACATGCTAAGTGCTTCATGTGGTACTTATTTCGGGCAGTATGTTTATCGGGCTTGACTTGACTTCAACAGACAGAGCCAAAAGAATGAAGGGGGTATTTCTTTTGGGCAGGTACTTATTTACGGACTTTTACGGTTACCAATCTGAGCGCCGCAGGAACCTTGCCCTTGCTTGGATGGCGCGCTCTACGCTTCTTCGTCACCATGGTCACGCATGGGTAGACCATGGTAGACTCCCGATCCCAGGATCTCTCAAGTCTCATCATGTATTGTTTGGTGGGAACATATAATGTTGACTTCAAAAATAATTGAAACATTATTTTTTAAATGTTTGCGTTTGAAAATAATTGGCGGACTACATACATAGTCATTGTACTGGATCGTAGATGTACGAGTACCTAGTACTGACTGAGCAAGAGGCAAGACTACTACACAGTACATGACTTATGTAGTACTACTAGTATTAGTTCAGTCAGTAACACTCACTAGAGCAGTGCATAGCCTGGTGTTGGCCATTAGGTATTTCTGGTATTTGCAGATTACTTGTATGGAGTCGACCCTGGTACGTAGTTACATAGAGGAGAGTCGTGTTTTGCTAATCGGTTGACGTTCGTTAGCTAGCGGTGTTTTGATCTTACTCGTACAAACTACCCCAGCGTAGCGTGCACTGTGACGGTAAGAGCATGAAAAAAACTGGTACATGTAGACATGTAGTGGAGGAGCAGACAATTGCACAAAATTTAAAATAATGCTGTGATGTAAAATAGAAAGTTCTAGGTACGTACAGAGAGGCAGCTCCCATTTGTATGATGCTTGTCAGTGTTTGTGAAGGTATTGAAACTTGAAGTATGAAAAGAATTACCGAGGAAAACTCTGAAATTACAGTACTCGTAGAAAAATATTTTAACAAAACAATAAAGCCGTGATGAAAAGTATGTGGCATGATATTTGAACTTGTAGCATATAGCACGCACTGGAGCAGTCATGGAGACACCAGTAGTCTTCCTGTGGAAATGACATTGATTTTGGAGTTTGCTGTTCAAACACGCCGCCACGCAAGCAGTTAGTGACACCCAGTTGCTATATTCTACATTGTATGTGTTCGTGTGAGCGTGTGTGTGCTCTCCGTTACGTATCTCTGTGTTTTTTGCTATGGAGTCTAATATCTCTGTCTCTCTCTCTGTCTCTCTCTCTCTCTCTCTCTCTCTCTCTCTCTCTCTCTCTCTCTCTGTCTCTCTCTCTCTCTCTCTGTCTCAGCAGAGCAAGCTGTTCAGTGTACTGGACAGTCATATGGAAGAACCATACAAGGTCACTGAGATAGCTCGCCACAGCTAGTCACTATGGACGCTAAAGCCCTCGCTGACCATCTAACCAACTTCTACTCTGGAAAGACAGCAGCACGTCGACTCGCCGATGATGAAGTTGCGGCAAACGTCATGTGCAGGGTGTCCATGGTACAAAGTGGTACTGTGCCGACAAGACTGAGTGAGGCATCAGTACGGCGCACGGCGTTCGTTGCCGGCCGAGATACTGCCTGCCGCGTTCTGCCATTCAAGTCACCGTATGATGTCCTGCTCGCCCTCGGTCTAACACGCGAGTTCATCACCCTCAAGGTAAAAGATACGGGAAATCAGTACCTGCTTTAAAAAATGGCTAACATGATCAAATGAGCCTGGAAG